TGACGAAATCAAAAAAGATATTGTCATCGGTGATGTTCAATTTTGTCATGGATTATCACAATTTATCGATTTATATAAAAAATCAAGAAGACTCAGTCTATCTCACGCGTCAAATTTCTTGAATCATTCCAGTTGGTCAGAAGCTTGGTTTTTAGACAGTAATATTGACGATAAAACTTCTGTCGGATATATAAACGAAGACCATCAACATCATGATTATCATCAGCAATTGTCAATAATGGCGCATCATCAGGCAAATAATAATTCGAATGTCGCGAAATCTCCGATCCATTTATTGAATCCACATCAACATGAATCTGTTGCTAAAGAAATCTATGAATTACAACGCCAATCATCTATACGGAAAAGAACAGCAGAACTTGATTTATCATCTTCGATGATGATAGGCAATAAACATCGTCGTACACTAACGCAAGAAAATGATCGATATCTTCAAGTAATGGGTACCGTTCCTGAGACTCATAATGTTATGGTCGAAAGTGATCCTAATAATCATCAACAGTATTTGAACACTAATTAACATTTGGAGCTAAGCTCTTTTACAAAAATTTATTTTCTTGTTATCTAAAAAATTAATGCATAGTATTACTAGTAATAGTATGGCATTATCTTACATGTAAATATTTTTTTTTCATCTAGTTTTCTTTTATCTTTTCATTTTTAAAAATCAATTAGATTAAAATCAGAAGAAAATTATTGATGATAACGAAGATTATCTAGCATAAAATAAAGACTTATAATTGCATGTTAACAGAAATATAGCAAATCACCGATTCTAAATCACTATGTCAAAAAAATATCTATTTTAATAATGCAAAATCAATTGTAGTCAAATCAAATAATTATGGTGCTAATAAATTTTGCACAATTGTAATCGTAACAAATGAATGACTTAGCAATCTTAGCAATTGAAATCCTGAACTATATGCTAGCACAGAAAGCAAATGTACTATACATATTCGACCTTACATATATAAATATATGGTCGTTCAACAGCCTCATATAATCATAATTCATAGAAATACACAAAATTATTGATGTGAGGCATCTGTCTTGGTTCGGGTGTAAAAAATTCATTGAAGAATTATCTACCGACATTGCAGAAAAATCCGAAGTAGTGAATAAGTCATACATTACCGAGTAGTTAGACGATAATAATTTTTTGTATTTTATAGTAAGATTGATCATGCTGAAGCTAAAAATAAAAGTTATTACAGTAAAACCTCTCTAAGTGCTCCCCCTTCGGGACTATAGTAAAAAACAGGCAGAGTGTGCACTTAGAGAGGGTGTGCATTTATAGAGAGTAATATATATATGTGTGTGTGTGTGTGTCTTATAACTTGGAACCGTGCATTTAGAGAGGTTTTATATAGTGTGTGTATTTATAGAGGATGCACTTAGAGAGATTTTACTGTAGTTCTTATTATGAATATGATAAAGCTGTCAAGATGAAATATGAACGAATTCCTGAAAAATCTCAGATGAAACACTTCGTAAAAAAGGAGAGCTCTAAAAATATAACTCTTTTTTATCGTAAAGATGAACATTGTTGTACTGCGCCATATAATCATGTAATCATGTAATTTAAGCATAAAATATATAAATACTATCAAAATGTAAAACACGACTATTAAAGCAAGAATTAAATATCTTCAAACATAATGTAATTATTATATAGGCTACCTTTATATTTATCAAGTCAAGCTGAATTCATTAGTATCATTTTTTATTATTTTAATTAAATAAAACAACTTTATTACAATTGTATATAGGATTCTGAAAAAAAATTTGAAATTAATTCAGTTCAAGCTTGAACCAAACTTGAATTTGATTTGTAAAATTTGTATTAAAAATTCAAATCCAATTAAAAATCTAATTCAAGTTCAGTTCAAACTTTGAATTAAACTCAAATTTAACCAAAAGTTTGACTTGAGTTCAAGTAAATATTCAAAAAAATTCTAAGTAAATTATAAATTATAATTAGAGCTACAAATTAATATAAAATAGTTGATATTAATACTGAAGAATAAATATATTTGTAATAATTGAAAATTTAAGTTAGAATTAATATTAAAATTCTGAATATATAATTAATTAATATTAAAATTGTTATATATAGCAATTATAATTAGATTAATTCTTCAAAAAATTATATACAATCAAATCTTAATATAACGAAATTTGGTTATAATGAAATTCTTAATATAATGAAAGAAAAAAAGATCTTTTATTTTAAAATTATCTCTATATAGTGAAGTTTTATAAGGAAATTCAATATAACAAAAAATTTCCAGCTCAAGAAATTTATTATATCAAGATTTGACTATAAATTTAAAAAATATTATAATTTTGATTTATATAAAAATTTTTTATATTAAAAATTAATCATAAATTATAATTCTAAATAAAGTTATAAAATAATTAATATTGTTATCATATTATATGAGTTCTTGGGAGAGTTGGTGAGTGCTTAATAACATTATAATAAGTTACTTGGCCAGAATAATTATAGTAAAGTTTATTAAGAATGACAGGTGGGAGAGTATAATATAATCAAATCTATATAATGCATTAAGCATTATACTATGATTATAAATAAATCTAAAGGAAGGTAACAGTATATTCATGACGTTGTTATGATTGGAAATTCTTATAATTCCCATAAATCTTGTAATTCCATAATTTCTATATTCTTTATAATTTCTATATTTTTTATAATTTCTATATTCTTTATAATTTCTATATTCTTTATAAT